ACACACACACACACACACACACACACACACACACACACACACACACACACACACACGTATACACACACACACACACACACACACACACACACAGATAAACACTGAAATCTACCAAAATCAACTCTAAAACATTTTTATCTGTAAAATAAGTATCAATTTTTTTAAATCCCAAAAATAACAATGTAAAAAAGACCATTTAAGCGTGAATTTAAATCCGAAAAATGGACTACAGACAAGTATTTTCATATATTTTCACAAAATGAATTCTACTATCGAAAAAAAAAACGGTTCACATGAGCTGATGCCACTGAAACATCTGAACTCCGCTCAGCAACCTCAGTTAAGATGATCGATCCTTTAGTCTGGTTTACACACGTTCACACATATTTATATTCCAATAAAAAATTCTGAGACAGAAAATGCTAGCCACAGCCAAATTCACGTATACTTATGCACTATTCTGCATTCTATTCTGTAGCTTAAATAGTGTTAGTAGTGTGTTTACACTGAAAAACACAAAAGGAAAAAGTGAACTTTAAACGACCCGATGATGCAACATCCACACAGTTGAACTGAATCAACATCGAACTGAACTGATTTGAATAATGACACTATCGTCTTTTTAAACTTACTTTACAGTTGAATTTGAATTTGTTGAAGTTGCTTTGACATAATCTGTATTGTATAAAGGTGAATGGACTTGGGACACAGCTACCAGATCATTAAAAACTAAAGTTGCTTTAGAAAAATGAAATGTTACAACACAAAGGATTTTTTGGTCTCTTTAATGACACTCTCATCTATATTAATTCATTATTTTGTCTACTAAATGTCCAACAGTCAGCGTACATGCATCACAGGAGAAGTCTGTCATTTTTGTAATTTTCTCCCCCTAAATGCTTTAAGAAAAGGTCATTATTAACATTTGCTGCAGCTCTACCATAAGCACTTAACCTTAAACCAAGGCACTACATGCATACTGTACATAACGTTTCACTTCTTTCAGTTTTTAATTTCTGCTCTAGCTTGTATCCTATGAAACCTCACAATGTATACTATGAACACGGTTCGCTCTGCATGTGATAAATTGCTAGTTGCTTTGAATAAAAGCATCTGCGAAATTAATGCATGTAAATGTAATCTTATATCTCAAATGGAAAGTCTGGGCCAAGGGTAAAATACAATTTAAACAATAAAAGGTATGTTTATGAACAAGTCGACTCACATGCAGCAGTCTGCAGCAGCAGCAGCATCAGTCCAAAGATGAGCATCGTTTCTCTAAAGTCCAGTTTCCAGAAGAGAGTCAGATCGAGTCTCACTGACAGACAGCAGCTCTACTGACACATCAGGAGATTACACGACTTTAACAGAGAAAGAGGAAAGAGGAAGTTTGCTCATAGGAGGGGAAGACAGGCTGTCGGTCAGCAGTTTACACTTACACACTTTCAGCGATAGAGATAACAAAAGAATAAACAAGGGACTCACAGAATTAGTTTAGTATCTAAAATATACGAATATACTTTTGTTTGTTTTTTATGTTGAGAAATCAAATTTGGACTTTGTTTTCCTTATCTGTTAAATCTTTTGGACATTTGCAGGTTTTAATTACAGAAAAGATCAACTATTTCCATCGCTGATAAGCAGAAGCATTACAAACAACAAAACAGATCATCAGTTAAAAACATGCATGCAGCGTTTAGTGTAAAACCTCAGAACCCAAACTACAAACTTCAACAGACCAAACTTATCACGTCAGGAGCAAAAATATGCATACGAATAAAATTGGCATCGCATTTTCTTCCCCAAACAATGTATTTCAGTTGCAGTGGAGTCATATCGAAAGTGTTCTAGATATAACACTAGGAACAAGTATATAAACATATCTTCTTGTGAGCATCATATTTCCGTGTCTGAAACTGAAGAGCGGTGGTTTTCGGACTGGAAGTGAGCAGCAGAACGTGTGAGAATGGTGGTGTGTTCATGCCATGAAAGAGAAGCCATTTACTCATTTAACAGCTTTATTGATTGGCATTAGTTGCATTTACATGGCATCTCTCACACCACAGATATGTGACCAAGTGTTTCCTGCACTGCAAAACAAACCTACGGTACAGTACAGCACGACCTGCATAGGCCAGTTTATGAACAAATGACTTGTGTGAGTGGGTTCTTCATTAGAAAATTCTCTATTGAATCAGTCTGGCGAATCCTTCAGTGAATCGAAATCAAAGTCACAGCAAATACTTGTTTTTATAAAAGCAGAAATAATAAGAGAATGCAATTCTAAATTAAGCCTCTGCTGCTACTGAATCAACATACAGTATGACTCACATTCCACATTAATATTCATCACTGAAAGTAACCATACACCCAGATAACAGGGAACGTTCTCGTAACATTGATGTGGCAAACAATCCTTCAGTAACATTAACAGAACATTGTTCAAAGTTATCTGGGCTTTAAAGAGATAATAAATAAATTAAAATAAAATAAATGCTATGAAAGTAATAAGGCTACCAGCAACTGTTTGGTTACCAAAATTGAGTTTAGCAGAAGAAATAAATTCATACACTAATTGAGGGTGAGTAAATGACAGAATTGTCATTTTTTTGGGGGGGTGAAATAGCCCTTTAATAATGTTCTCAAAATGTTATTTATCGGCCTACATCGCGTTCACGTAATGTATTTAAACATTAGGCTACTGCTTACTAGGTCTTGTTTCAGAATGTTTAAAGAAAATTTAAAATGCAAAAAAAAAAAAAAGAACGTTTGCAATAACCAAGAAACTTTTTTAGAACGTTTAAAAACTGGACATTTTGAAAGTTCAGAGAACATTTATGGTGTGTTCACACCGAGCGGCAACCTCCCGCGCTCTCTCGTGAAGCCAACACGGAAGTGACTTAAACTGTAAATCATCGACTGGCCTCTAGAGGCGGGCTGCAAAAGAGAGTCAATCCCATAGACTCCCCATGTTAAAATGCGTAACTTTATAGCAGAAAAAAACATGTTTACAGCCTGGTTCAAAAAGTGGTTTTGGTCTGTATAGCTAATTTTGCCCTTCATGACAACTGTGAAGCGGGTGAATTTTTGTATAACTCATCCGTTTAAATTATATTAAGCCTTAAACTTCTGCATAATTAAGGGCGTGGCCACTTGAAACTTTTTTAGAACGTTTAAAAACTGGACATTTTGAAAGTTCAGAGAACACTTATGGTGTGTTCACACCGAGCGGCAACCTCCCGCGCTCTCTCGTGAAGCCAACACGGAAGTGACTTAAACTGTAAATCATCGACTGGCCTCTAGAGGCGGGCTGCAAAAGAGAGTCAATCCCATAGACTCCCCATGTTAAAATGCGTAACTTTATAGCAGAAAAAAACATGTTTACAGCCTGGTTCAAAAAGTGGTTTTGGTCTGTATAGCTAATTTTGCCCTTCATGACAACTGTGAGGCGGGTGAATTTTTGTATAACTCATCCGTTTAAATTATATTAAGCCTTAAACTTCTGCATAATTAAGGGCGTGGCCACTTGAGTGACAGGTGGATTGCTGATGCTGTAACCACTGTCAAGCTAGGTGGGCGTGGTTTCAACAACCAGCTCCCGCCTCTTTGCCCATCTTCAATTATGACGCGCGGTGACGCACTGCCAAGATGGCGACGGCCGGCTCCGCCCACTTTTGAGCTTCAAAAACTATCTTCGGAACCCTACGGGTGACGTCACGGACACTACGTCCATGTTTTTATACAGTCTATGGTTCACACCAGATGCGAAGCGGAAATGCGCATTACGTCACTCGATCTAGATTACTCGCGGATGTTTTCCGTGTCACTCGCGCGAATAAAAACATAACTACAATCGCTGTTTTGTACCTGTTGTCAAAAAGTCCCAAATACAATGAAAGCCAAACGCCAACGTGTCTGTGTTCACAGCACCATCCAGAGGAGGATTAGTAAAGTTAGGATCCTGTATTAATGTGTGTGCTACATTTTACTACTGTATATATACACTGATACTACTATTATTTTTATTATTGATAGCAGCATCTCTGTAGCAATGCTAATAAAATACAAGTACCACTACAACTGATTTTAATTGTTTTCTATGCTCCAGACCTATATAATAACAGACGGCTGCAATAATGCTCTCTTCCATTGTCTGATTCAACTGGACGTGTCAAGAAGCTCTTCGCTGATTGGCTTGCGCGAGAACGCGCCATGCGAATTTTCCACTCCAGTCGAAATTTTTGAACTTGTGCGAAAGACGCGATTGAGGCGAATATCGTACGTTCGCGGCAAACGCGTCGCGCATTTCACGTAATTCGCGTCGCCCAGCGCGAATTCGCCTCTATTCGCGTCTTTACGTTGACTTTGTATGTAATCTACTTGCGCGAATAATTACATTCGCGTCTGGCGTGAACACACCATTAGAAATAATGTTTTCATAACTTAATGGACCCTTTTCACAAGACTGTGATGACGCGTTTAACGGTCACCAGCATCGTAAATCCTCGAACGTTTTTCATGTTTGTATTTTAAAAAAAATGTATGTACATTTATAACACTATTATTTGTATAATATCACCTTTGCAACAAATTACAAAAAAAAAAAAAACGGTTAACGCTAATGCGCGGGTGTTTCTAATGACGCTTCTGTGGGATTGACATCGTTCGTTATCAGTCGCTCTCTAATATTTTTTTCCTTTTATTGAAAGTCATGAAAACACTATCGTGGCGTTTTTCTTTTGCTATTTGAGCAAATGGGAATGCGAAAAAAGTATATTTGCGATAGTCTCCCATTCGCCGCTCTTCAAGTTAACCCAGCTATGACGACTTCCGCTGCTGAGAAACCCAGAAATGTGAAAACGGTCCACGGGAACATTGGCGAAACGTTATATTTCATTGCTTAAATTTCTATTGAATTTGCCCGTTTCTGTTGCACCGGCGTGAATTCGTTTCCAATGCCGTTTACACTCAGTTACAGATCAATAACTTGTTTTCAGTATTAATTTTTATTAGTATTTGATAAGTTTGGGACCGTGTTTATTAATGTTTTTAGATTATCTGTATGTGATCACTGAGCAGTAAACACAAATATTGATTGACGTCTGCGCCTTTCCTCGGGTGTGAACCTCATTCGCCGCTCTTCAAGTTAACCCAGCTATGACGACTTCCGCTGCTGAGAAACCCAGAAATGTGAAAACGGTCCACGGGAACATTGGCGAAACGTTATATTTCATTGCTTAAATTTCTATTGAATTTGCCCGTTTCTGTTGCACCGGCGTGAATTCGTTTCCAATGCCGTTTACACTCAGTTACAGATCAATAACTTGTTTTCAGTATTAATTTTTATTAGTATTTGATAAGTTTGGGACCGTGTTTATTAATGTTTTTAGATTATCTGTATGTGATCACTGAGCAGTAAACACAAATATTGATTGACGTCTGCACCTTTCCTCGGGTGTGAACCTTAGACTGTATAAAAACATGGACGCAGTGTCCGTGACGTCACCCGTAGGGTTCCGAAGATAGATTTTGAAGCTCAAAAGTGGGCGGAGCCGGCCGTCGCCATCTTGGCAGTGCGTCACCGCGCGTCATAATCGAAGATGGGCAAAGAGCTGGTTGCTGAAACCACACCCACCTAGCTCGACGCCGATGACAGCATCGGCAATCCACCTGTCACTCAAGTGGCCACGCCCTTAATTATGCAGAACTTTAAGGCTTAATATAATTTAAACGGATGAGTTATAAAAAAATTCACCCGCTTCACAGTTGTCATGAAGGGCAAAATTAGCTATACAGACCAAAATATTTTTTTGAACCAGGCTGTAAACATGTTTTTTTCTGCTGTAAAGTTAGGCATTTTAACATGGGGGGTCTATGGGATTGACTCTCTTTTGCAGCCCGCCTCTAGCGGCCAGTCGATGAATTACAGTTTAAGTCACTTCCGTGTTGGCTTCACGAGAGAGAGCGGGAGGTTGCCGCTCGGTGTGAAGAGAGACTTTTATTTTGAAATCCCCATCAGCTTCCAGTTCCAGCCGGAAGTTCAGCACTCGGTGATCGTCCCGGTGTTTCTCAGTCTGTGCTTTAGTCTCTGAACATCTGAAGGGTTTGTTTGTGTTTCACACGCGTTAACGGGAGCAGATGTCCGCGCAGGGCGACTGTGAGTTCCTGGTGAAGCGCGCGCGGGAGCTGGTGCCGCAGGACCCGTATGCAGCTAAAGCCTGGCTGATCACCGCGCGCACGCTCTATCCCGCAGACTTCAACATACAGGCGAGAAAACAGCAACAATATGCATTATTCTGTCACACAGCAATAAACATAACGTCTCAAACCCACTGCATGTCCTTCAGGACTCTAGTAAAGTGGGCTTATTTCATTTAGATGCCGCTGACCTCCAAATATGATCAAATACACATATAATTCGTTATTAAATTCCAGCATTTAATTATGATTCATGCGCGTGCAAGGAACCTCTAAACTAAAGTTTAAAATACTATAGATTTAGTGCATCATTTATTGCATGTTTTGATGTATAAAGACTCTGTGAAAAATTATTACAAATCAAATGTATGTAAAATATTATTTTACATTGTTTCTTTATAGTCACATTGCACTATTAGATGTTATTTATTTATCATTTTTGATTTTTACTGTTCAGATTTATATGCATTTATTTTTGATCAGATTTAATCAATCATATTTGTATTATTTATTTGTTTTTCCTAAACATTTGTATTATTTTAATTGAAACATTTGTTATTTTACTCCATGTTTATTTATTTAAGCCTAATTTATTTTGTTTAATTGGTATTTATTTTTAAAATAATATTTTAATTTTAATTGTATTATTTTTTAAATATTTTTAAATATTTTTATTTAATTTTAATAATTTTTTTAATTTATTCTATTTATTTAGATTTTTTTATGTCAGTTACTGTATTTCAACTACTTTAATTTATTCATATTTTTTTATGATTGATTTGTTTTTTCTAAACATTTTGTTATTTTACTTAAATTATTTATTTATTATTTATATATTTTTTTCTCTAAACATTTCCACAGATATTGCATGAACTGATAAAATGTTTCTCTTGAATGCAATGCATGCTACTTTAGAAAAAAGCCTCCACTTTGTCTAATATTCTTGTATTATATGTCTTGTATTTAGCAATGGAACATCCTGGTGTTTACAAGCAATAGCACTCTTTCTGATTCTGATAAGTGTGCATATTAATCATCAGTGTGCATATCTGAGTGTCTGCGTCATGCAGAGGTCTGTGTGCACTAGTTTGTCTGATGCGTGTGTCATGTTCATGTGTGCAGTATGAGATGTACAGCATCGAGCGTAACGCTGAGAGGACGGCCTCCGCCGGCAGACTCCTGTACGACATGTGAGTCTCTGCATTCGCTCGGGATGCCTTCGCTGCACATGACGGCTGTTTAATCATGTTCCCTGATGCACAGATTCGTGAATTTCCCCGAGCAGCCGGTGGTGTGGCGTGAGATCGCAGTGATCACTGCAGCGTTACGGAACGACAGCCAGGACAAACACGCTCAGTTTCTCAAAGGTGTGTGTGTGTGTGTGTCAGTGTTACCATTAGCTCAGAATATTAGAGCTTTTAGGCATATTCTGAAATAGCTTTATATTTTCGTTTAAAATTTTAGTTAAATCTGACAGTCAGCGTTAAAGGTCCCATATTAAGAATTGTTACTATGAGGTGATCACATCTAACGTGTAGTAAAGACAAACTCACCGTCTATCTAGTCATGATGAAGATATTTATACATTTCAATTTCAGCAGGACACTATTTTTACAACTACCCGTGCGTCACTCAGAACACAACAGGCCAATCAGAAGAGATGCTCGTGAATATTAATTAGACAGGCCATAATCGACCTGTTCTCAGCAGAGCTCCTGAGAAAGGAGCTGTAAAAATATATTGAGATGGTACTTATACCGCAAATATATATTCTTAAGGACATCAAAACCTCAAATAAAACTCCAGAAAGGTGTACAATATGTGACCTTTAAGTATTATTTTAAAATGTTTTAGTTTTGTATTAATATTTTGAATTAATTATTTTTTGTTGTTTTATTTTTAGTTACATTTTTAGTACGTTAATTGTTTAATATGTTTTTGTAATTTTTATTAGTTTTAGGGTTTTTTTATATTATTATTTAGGTTTAATTTTAATCTGTTTTAGTTTCAGTTCAGTTTTAGTTTTTATTTATTTCCAACTTAAGTTATTTTCCAAGGCAACATTTCTAAATTTAATTAAGTTGAATTCTTTCATTTTTTATTTATTTACAAGTAGTCACTTGGGTATTTAATGCATACTTAAAATGTGCATATTGTGCCCACTATACATATGTTCTGTACAAATGTACATATATATACATAGCGTTTGTAAACAATACTATGAACGCTTGTTTCTGCCACTGGATAAAAAAAATAAAAAAAAGTCATTGTGACTCTTTATCTCACAAGTCAACCTTTTTTCTGTAAATCTAAACATCAGAAATTAGATAAAAAGTTTCATGTACATTTTTTATATTTTATTCTGTGAGGGAAACAAAGTAAAAGAGAATCGCTACTTTTTCTCTCACCTGTGTGTGTGTTGTAGGTCGTACTCGGAGCTCCTGCAGCGTGTTTCAGAGTTGTGTCGGTACATGTCTGCCACGGACAGTGAAGGTTTCGCCCGCTGTTGTGCTCAGATCGTCACCTGCTGCACGCTTGTGCTGTTTCACAGTGCGTTTCACTACGTCTCTGCTGTGCAGCCGTCACTCTTCCAGGGTCAGTTCACACGCCTGTGTGTGTGTGTTTGTTTGTTTGTTTGTTTGTTTGTGTGTTTGTGTGTGTGTGTGTGTGTGTGAGTGTTTGTGTTGGTGGGCGTGGTCGGCTCGCTCTGTGATTGGCAGGGAGAGAAAGCAAGCCGGTGAGAAACAGTATCTTAAAGGGATAGTTCACCCCAAAATGAAAATTCGGTCATTAATTACTCACCCTCACGTCATTCCAAACCCGTAAGACCTTCGTTCATCTTCTGAACACAAGACATTTCTGATGAAATCCTAAGGCACAGAAACGTAGCAAGGACGTCACTAAAACAGTCCTTGTAACATCAGGGGTTCAAGCGTAATTTTACAAAGCTACAAGAATACTTTTTGTGCGCAGAGAAAACAGAAATAATGCGTCGTGATACTCTTTCCATAATGGCAGCACGCCACAGCAGACGAGATGAGGGGAGAAGAATTGTTGAATAAAGTCGTTATTTTTTTTCTTTGTGCACAAAAAGTATTCTCATAGCTTCGTAAAATTAGGGTTGAACCCCTGATGTCACAAGGACTGTTTAACTGAGGTCCTTGCTATGTTTTTGGACCTTGAAACATTTCAGTTGCATTGCTGTCTATGGAGGGAGTAATTAATGAACGAATGTTAATTTTTGGGTGAACCAACCCTTTAACGACTGATGCGTGCGATCAGCTCTCTCTCTCTCTCTCTCTCTCTCTCTCTCTCTCTCTCTC